AGGCAGTCAGAAAGTAAAAGCTGCATAAATTCCAATATATATATATCATTTTGTAGAAGCTATAGCTTTCACACAAACCAATTAATATACACGTATTTGATTTTTTTTTTACCAAAGACATGTACCAGAATACATTTTGGCCTAAATGTGTGACTACCTTTGAGTTTACTGGATATTTTTAGAACTGAAAGTAAAAATATTGTTTTTGTTTCAACAATTTCAAAAACATTTTTCATTTATATAACAAAAACTAAATCAAATATCACCAAAAGAAAGCTCTATTTGTGTGACAAAAATGGCTTGGTCATTAAAGGGGGTAAATCTTCCAGAGGGCAAGTGGTTAAAGCAAATGTGATAAACTGGTAAGAGTAAGCTAAAGTAAAAAGTCACAACACATACAGCTGTACAACACCGACAATAATATCTTTTTCAGACAGAGGATAAGAAAAACACTTTAGGCATTACAATATGTGAGTTTTCTTGTGATGGCCAGCTGACTCTGCTCACCATGGACAGTGCCTAGATTTGTGGCTTAATCCCTGGAAATTCTTGAATCCTGCGTTCCTCACATCAAGGCAATTTCTATTTTATGTTGATAGTTTACACTAACCAGATCCTTCAATAAATTATTGATTGGAATAATAGCAATTTGGAGATTTCAGTAACCTTAGTTCTAACATGCTGCCTTTACATTTGTTGTTTCATGTTCAAATTCTTAGTCAATATAAAGACTGTTGACTTTCACAGAAAATCCATATTACAAAAAATGCCACTCTTATTGCTCCACGGGAAGCTAGAACAATTAATATTAACCCATTTGTTCTGCTGCACATTATTATCATGCTGTGAATCCAACAAGCAAAGTGTTAAAGAGCTTTCTGGAGTTACTGGACCAGGAAGCAATACATTGCCTTAAAATGTAAATAGCAGATAAGATCCCAAGAGAAGCTAAGTACATAGCTGGACTCATAAGTCTGAAGGTCACCTTGGTGTAAGACGATTCTGTAATACAAACTGGTCAGGTTCACATTCATTTGAGTAAATATTTCTGTGTAAAATTGAAAATTCCTTTGTGAGACAGGTAAGTTGCTACCTGTTGCAAAGTTAAAGGAAAAACAATAAAGGTAAATCTTGGTTAATGGCTTTATTTGAAAAGAAGACACACATTTTATCCACTTTATTAAAAAGGTATCTTAAGGTGGTGCTCCATCTTCCTTGTTCTCTGCCTGCAGTCCTCTTGGGAAAATAGCCTGCCTGGGACCATATTTAACTGCTGCTACTTACAGTCTCACACAGAGAAGTTATTAGATTGTGGGGTTTTGGAATATCCCACTCCATAGTTCTTATATCTTCAGGTTTAATTATTTTAATCATTAATAGAAAACAATGTAACAACAATGTGCTCTAATGAAAGAATTAAGTAATTAAGACATTTTTGGAATCCAGAACCCTGCATTCCTGTTATAGAGATACATCTCTCTTTTTTTGTTGTTTTATTATGAAGGGGGGAAAATCTGTTTTTTAGGTGTCAAGCATACATTTAGATAGAAAAAAACAGTAAAGTGATGTAACCCTCGCAGGGGAACGCCATCCATTCTGCAGACAGGCGTACAGAGGCATAGAAGTGAAGTATAGCCCTCACAAGGCTATATCCCCAAGTTCAAAATAGGTACATGATATAAAAAATGAATACAATGAATCAAACCAGAACTTGGAAATTGTGTGTGTATGACTTGTGTTAGATAGACAGGATACAAGTCAGATATTGTCAGATACCTTGGCAGTACCCCAAAAATTCCTCCGAGCCCAAGTGGAGGGAGGCTGTCAAATAAGTAGCATAGAAAACTTAGTACAAAACGAATCTGGCATCATCGTGGTAGAGGTGCTTTCTATCCTCCTCACCCAGACTTTATTAAATTTTCTAATGCATCCCGTTAGCGTAAAATTAGCATTGGTGAAAAGAGAAATACATCTCTTTGACCAATGTAGGAACTAGCGATGGTTTTATAAGGAAAGGAGACCTGGTGGATGGTATAAAAATGAAGATGCATTTGATGATTAAGTATTATATTTCTAGATGTATTAACTTTATTCCACTTTAATTTCACTGAATAAATAGGTAAGTAGTTAAAACATCAAAATGTCCAAATGTGCACTTTACCAGTTCACCGGAAGTAGGTGCGGCATCCGTACCTGCACTTAAGGGTCTTAATCATCCTCCTGCAACACTATGTTTCAGCTTGCATGGGATTCAATTCAACATTGCCAAACCAAATATAAGTATCAAAGCCTTTGCATATCATTATTAATGTAAATTCATACACCATACCAAAATAAATGCCAATTTTCTTTTAATTCTCAAATGCAGGTAGATAATTTATTATTTGGATTATTTTCTGGATTTAGAACAATATTTTTGTTCACTCACTATTTTGTGGATTTTTTTACTACAGGAGATACAGTGAGGAACAGAAGTATTTTAACACCCTGCGATTTTGCAAGTTCTCCCACTTAGAAATCATGGAGGGGTCTGAAATTCACATTGTAGGTGCATACCCACTCTGAGGGACAGAATTTAAAAAAAAATTCAGGAAATCACATTGTATGATTTTTAAAGAATTTATTTGTCTTGCACTGATGAACATAAGTATTTGAACACCTAAGAAACAGCAAGAATTCTGGCTCTCAAAGACCTGGTACTGTGCCTTTAAAAAGTCCACCTCTACTCCACTCATTAATCTAACTTAGTAGCACCTGTCTGAGCTCTTTAAAGACACCTGTCCACCCCACAGTCAGTCAGACGCCAACTACTACCATAGGCAAGACCAAAGAGCTGTCAAAAGACACCAGAGACAAAATTGTGGACCTCCACAAGGCTGGAAAGGGCTACGGGGCAATTGCCAAGCAGCTTGGTGAAAATAGATCAACTGTTGGAGCAATTGTTAGAAAATGGAAGAGGCTAAAGGCGACTGTCAGTCTCCCTCGGACTGGGGCTCCATGCAAGATCTCACCTCGTGGGGTATCACTGATGATAAGAAAGGTGAGGAATCAGCCCAGAACTACAAGGGAGGAGCTGATCAATGACATAAAGAGATCTGGGACCACAGTTTCAAAGGTCACTGTCAGTAGGACACTACGCCGTCATGGTTTCAAATCATGTATTGCACGGAAGGTTCCCCTGCTCAAGTCATCACATGTCCAGGCCCATCTGAAGTTTGCCAATGACCATCTGGATGATCCAGAGGAGGCATGGGAGAAAGTCATGTGGTCAGATGAGACCAAGGTAGAACTTTTTGGTCTAAACTTCACTCGTCGTGTTTGGAGGAAAAAGAAGGATGAGTTGCATCCCAAGAACACCATCCCTACTGTGAAGCATAGGGGTGGTAACATCATGCTTTGGGGGTGCTTTTCTGCAAAGGGGACAGGACGACTGCACTGTATTAAAGAGAGGATGAATGGGGCCATTTATTGTGAGATTTTGAGCAACAACCTCCTTCCCTTAGTCAGAGCATTGAAGGTGGGTCGTGGCTGGGTCTTCCGACATGACAACGACCCGAAGCACACAGCCAGGAGTGGCTCCGTAAGAAGCATATCAAGGTTCTGGAGTGGCCTAGCCAGTCTCCAGACCTAAATCCAATAGAACATCTTTGAAGGGAGCTGAAACTCTGTGTTGCTCAGCGACAGCCCTGAAACCTGACAGATCTAGAGGAGATCTGTGTGGAGGAGTGGGCCAAAATCCCTGTTGCAGTGTGTGCAAACCTGGTCAAGAACTACAGGAAACGTTTGACCTCTGTAATTGCAAACAAAGGCTTCTGTACCAAATATTAACACTGATTTTCTCAGCATACTTATGTTCAGCAGTGCAAGACAAATACATTCTTTAAAAATCATACAATGTGATTTCCTGAATTTTTTTTTTTTATTCTGTCTCTCAGAGTGGGAATGCACCTACAATGTGAATTTCAGACCCCTCCATGATTTCTAAGTGAGAGAACTTGCAAAATCGCAGGGTGTTAAAATACTTCTGTTCCTCACTGTATACTCAATATTCTAAAATCCAGTTTGTTTCTTTGAAAATTCAGGATGGCAGGTTTCTCCTACCTGTTATGCTTTATATCTACAGGATATCCATGTATGGAGTATATTGTTCAAGATAGCATATGTAGAAGACTAAAATTCTTGTTTTAAAACTACTACTTAATTAGGTTTCTAAAGATGTCATCAAGGATTGAAACTGAAACTTTAGCTACTATATTTTCTTTTAGTTATGGACAGAGAAGGGAGAAAGGGCCCTCTGTGTCAGGTTGTAGCAAGGTGTCACCATTAGTAATGAGCTGAACTGCCCTGGATTAGGTTCGAGTAGGGTTTGGAAGAAGTTTGGATATTGAACCTGAACCCCTTTGAAATAAATGGGAAATAAATCTGTCAAAAAAAATGCCACTTTCCTGGGCTAAAAGGCAAGGGGTATCAAAAATAGCATTTAGGGTAGACAACGTGCTGGAGAACATGTATCAATGCAAAAAAAAAAAAAAATTGGCTAGGAGCAGTGATTTTTTTAATGCTTAAAGCGAAACATCAGAAATATCAATTTCCTTTAAATAACATGCTTGGGAAGGAAAGGGGTTCTTAATTCTACCAGTGTAGGTGCATATCTCTGTGACATACAGAAAGTGCTGCAGCAGCACTAAAATTTACAAAGGAATAAGGTTTTAAAATTTGCCAGCAAACGACTTTGACAGTTGTCATTCCCAGATTCTTTATTTAACCACTTGACTACTGGGCACTTTTACCCCTTCCTGGCCAGACCAATTTTCAGCTTTCAGCGCTGTCACACTTTGAATGACAACTGCGCAGCCATGAAACACTGTATCCAAAACAAAATGTTTATAATTTTTTTGAGACAGCTAGAGCTTTCTTTTGGTGGTATTTAATTTTTTGCTAAACAAACTAATAAAGATTGAAAATTTTGAAGAAAAAAAAAGTTTTTTTCTTAGTTTCCGTTATGAAGTTTTGTAAATAAGTAATTTTTCTCCTTCACTGATGTGTGCTAATGATGCTGCATTGATGGGCACTGATAGGCTGCACTGATGGGCACTGATAAGAAGGCACTGATAGGTGGCACTGATGGGCATTGACAGGCATCACTTGCGGGCATTGACAGGCAGCACTCATATATGACACTGATAGGCAGCACTGACTGGCACTGATAGGCAGCACTGATTGGAACTGTTAGGTGCACTGATTGGAACTGTTATGTAGTGCTGACTGGCACTGATAGGTGGCACTGATGGGCACTGAGAGGTGGCACTGACTGGCACTGATAGGCAGCACTGACTGGCACTGATAAGTGGCACTGACTGACACTGATAGGTCGGTACTGACTGGCACTAAAAGGCAGCTCTGATGGCCACTGATATGTGATATTGATGTGCACTGGTAGGCACTGATATGTGGCATTGATGTGCACTGATGGGCACTGGTATGTGGCATTGGTGGGCACTGACAGGTGGCACAGATGGGGCTACACTGATCATCACGGCACTGATCATCAGTACCCTGATGATCAGTGTAGATGTCCCCTCTTAGGAATGCCAATTACCGGCTCTCCTCACGCACTGTCAGCGTGAGGAGAGGAATGCCCATAACCGGCATTACCTTGTTTACATGCAATCAGCTGTGATTGGACACAGCTGATCACATGACAGAGCCAAACTCATTGGCACTTTACTCTGATCTGTGATCCGCTGTGTCCCAAGGTCACAGTGCATTATTGATTGCCGCATGCCCCAAGGGTGTGCATGCGCAGTTAGAGATGGAGGACATCATATGATGTCCTCCCAGAATAAGAGAACTGCCGCCTGCCTGTCATTTCCTTATATGGCGGGCGGGAGGCGGTTAAAGAAAAAACAGCACACAAACCCATCCAAGGGTCTGCTATGTATTTTGGGGGAGCTTTGGAGGGTGTCTGTGTGTTTGAATTAATTATATAATTTTATTTATTTTCAAACATCATTTTTGCTGTAGCACATCCTACAGTAATTATGAAAAAAAATTTCACAAAAATGTACCCTTTGGGGGCTATTTACCAAGGCTTGAGAGTGCAAAATCTGGCGCAGCTTTGCATAGAAACCAATCAATTTCCAAGTTTTATTGCCAAAGCTTAATTGAACAAGCTGAAATTAGAAGCTCATTGGCTACCATGCATAAATTTACCGTATTCTGAGTGCACCAGTTTTAGTAAATCTCTTCCTTTGAGTCTGGTATGGATTTAAAAGGAGCACCTCACACAAAAAAGCCAAAAACAAAAAAAAAGTGTGAAGTCCTCTGGAAATGCATACTAGATGTTGATGATTACAAGGGCCTCTTCCCCACAACCCATGTTGTGGGGAGTTACCAAACTGTTCCACTCTCGGTAATTCCTTTGCTGTGGAACACATTTGAGTCTGTTTAATGATTATAACATTTGAGTGGTATTCCTTTATTTAATAAATAGTGTTTGTAGTTACAAAATTATAGGCGGCCCTTTTTATTATTTATTCTGAGAACCCGCTGATTTACATTGGTGACCGGAGAGTACCCAGTAAGGTGGTCTACATTAGGTGGAGATGAGACAGCACTTGACTTTTGGGAATATTATAAACAAAGTGTGTTTGATGTATATGAGAATATGGGTCAACAGTGGAGGTGAGCAACCACTTTGCACATTGGTGGAGCACGATTTGGTCCTGGTTATATCACATTGGGATACAATACATTACATTAGGGGGTGAGAAAAACCTTGGACAGAGGGATGGCGGTGGACATAGTACACTTGGATTTTGCAAAAGCATTTGACACAGTTCCCCACACATGGTTAATGTGTAAGGTAAAGTCTACGGGAGTGGAAAAATCCGTATGTAAATGGATAGAAAACTGACTAAAAGATCGTATTCAAAGAGTAGTGGTTAATGAATCATACTCTGAATTGTCTAGGGTTGTCAGTGGTGTAGCCCAAGGTTCAGTGTTGGGACCCTTACTTTTTATTATACAGTATTTATAAACGATATAGGGTCTGGGATTAAAAATACCATTTCAGTCTTTGCAGATGACACCAAGCTGTGCCGTGGAATAACGTCCTTACAGGATGTCTTCAACTTACAAGCTGACCTCAATGCACTGTTTAATTGGGCAACTATGTGGCAAATGAGGTTTATTGTTGAAAATGTAAGGTTGTGCACTTGGGGGCTAAGAATATGCATGCATCATACATACTAAGGGGGGTACTACTGGGGGAATCAATAGTGGAGAAGGATCTGGGAGTTCTGGTAGATCACAATAATAATGGCATGCAATGCCAAGCTGCGGTTTCTAAAGTGAGCAAAATCCTCTCTTGTATTAAAAGAGGTATAGACTCCAGAGAGAGAGAGATATCATATTACCCCTGTACAAATCATTAGTAAGACCTCATCTGGAATATGCAGTTCAGTTTTGTGCACCAATTCACAAAAAGAACATTGGGGAACTGGAGAAAGTACTTGGAAGGGCAACTAAACTGATACGAGGCATGGAGGAGCTCAGCTATGAGGACAGATTAGAGGAACTGAATTTATTCTCTCTTGAGAAGAGAAGATTAAGGGGGGATATGATCAACATGTATAAATACATCAGTGGTTCATATAGTGAACTCGGTGTAGAGCTATTCACCCTGAGGTCATCACAGAGGACAAGGGGGCACTCTTTACATCTCGAGGAAAAGAAATTTAATCTCCAAACACGGAAAGGTTTCTTTCACAGTGAAAACTATATAAATGTGGAATAGACTCTCTCAAGATTTGGTTCTGGCCAGCTCAGTGGATTGCTTCAAAAAGGGCCTGGATTTTTTTTTTAGATACACAGAATATAACTGGATACTAATATTTATAGGTAAAGTTGATCCTGGGAATATCTGATTGCCTCTCGGGGGATCAGGAAGGAATTTTTTTTCCCAGCAGGAGCAAATTGGATCATTCTTTGCTGGGTTTTTTGCCTTCCTCTGGATCAACTGTGGGTATAGGGTTATAACTTTTTTTTTTTATATGGTTGAACTGGATGGACTTTTGTCTTTTTTCAGCCAGACTATGTAACTATGTAACATTGATATTAATTACCTAATTTGAGGATTTATAATATTATATTTATTTATATGTTTAAATATTCATTGGAGAGTTCGCACTGGACCATATATTTTTCAACTCTACTTCCTGTGATGTGTCACACAGACAGGCATTAGCAGCAACTCTGAATATACATAATATTATTCATGTGGTGTGTTTGGCAGAGCATAAGTTAATTTCACATATTTAATACAGCTTGGTATATATTGTTTTGTTATGCAGCGCAATGATCACTTTTTTTTCACCAGTTCATGGGGTTTACATATTATTTAAAAGTAATTTGCTTACGTGATGAATAGTGCAGCACAGTAAAAATAGTATTAAATAGCAATTCACAATTTTTTGGATTTAGGTTAACGTTCCACTTTAAACATATCATTAGGAACTTAGCACTGTGATAAGCTGTGAAACAGTCTAATAACCACTTATCAGCACGATAAACCTAAAGTAGCAAAAGAGACTCAACAGTGCAGTCTCAACCTGTTTGGGTTTTACTGGTACAAAATCCTCCAATGAAAAGACATTGAAGTAGATCTAATTCCCTACCATATGAAAAACTAATAGTATTTTAAAGGTACCACAGCTTATATAAAAAAGTTTAAATTTTGTTAAACAAAATACTATAAAATCGTACTAACAATTAAATATTGTTAAAAACAAAAACAATCATATGCTGTACCAGAAATTGACAATCACATTCCACAATGGTCCTGGGGAAGATCTTATACAGTCATCTCCAACACATTTCGCAGGACAAACTCCCTTCCTCTGGGAGAGCTGGCATATATCTTTCTAAGCTTACAAAAAAATCCAACATGAATGACAATAAAACAAAATGAACATATTCTATACTTTGGATCTTTCTACATATATGTATTACCCAGGGGCGAACTGACAACTCATGGGGCCCCCGGGCAATAGGGGATCATGAGGCCCCTGTGTCCTTGCCCAAACTCAAAAAAGCCTATGAAAAAGGTACCAGGGGCATCTCATGGGGCCCCCTACTGACCCCGAGCCCTCGGGCAGTGCCCGAGTTTCCAAATGGTCAGTCCGCCCCTGGTATTACCTGTTACAAAAAGACCCACATGGTTTGCAGTCAGTTCTCAGGTTTAAAGAGCTGCAAATATCATATGGATTAAGGGACTTGAACCGTTCAAAAAGTTGAAGATCAAGTATTATAGAACACAAGAGAGCAGATGTGTGTCCTATGAGGTAATAGTGGTCAAAAAGTAAAATACTGCAACCTTCCCTCAACCATAAATTATTACATAAGGTTACAAAGAAAAAAGGAGGGGAAGGGGTAAAGAAAAAGAGTGAAGAAAAGAAAAAAGCCTCCAGTATGATAACAAGCTGACAATCATCAAATATAAAGATGCCTATGAACTTAGATGTCAGTTATTTGGCCTAGGGAACTTCAAACTAGTGTATTATTTTTGTGCTAAAATGACAGACAAGGTGGTGGATGGGAGAGACAGTCTCCTCTGTTGGGCCTGGAGTTTGGGCACCCTGGTCCACTTGCCAAAATACCTGCTTGATATATATAAGGGCTGTGAATCCTCACAAAAAGGGAGCTGTGCTGAAGACTTTGAAAATCTGTTTACTGTACAAGAGCATTGAGAAAACTCACCTGTCAGACTATGAGTTACGTAGGCTGGGTGAAAGCTTACCACGTGGGCTCTGTTCTATGTGTAGGAGCAGGCAGGATTTTGTTTATTTGCTGAAGTAAGCTGTTTTCTGTTGACTCAGTACATGATAACTAACATGAGACAAGCTACCCCTTAAAGGGATTATATTATATGGTGCCTTCCTGCCACAGAGCTGCTTCCCCTTTCACGATAGATAGATAGATAGATAGATAGATAGATAGAGATAGATAGATAGATAGATAGATAGATATTTATTTGTATGTTTTGACAGTGAGTGTGGCTTAAGTAAAACCTTCCATTTTTTCCATTTTATCTATAAAGTGTTCTGTTTGTATTACATGACCTTTAATGCTACTTTACATTATACTGGAAACACTGACCTCTTGCTAAGCGTTTAGTAACCTGATAATTCCTTTTTTATTAAATATGCTACATGATGAAAGCTATTTTAAACAAAGTGAAATACATGAATGAGGTGTGATATTAGACAACCTTCACAAGCAGAAAAAAGACTGCCCTTTCATAAGCATTTGACCTGCAAACATTAATAAATGCCAACTGTATTACCTGAATTGCATGTCAC